CATGACAGTGTGGGGGTGGAGCAGCACCTCAGTAGTACCCACATTGACTATGGGAATATATACTGTGCCCCGCATAACATGGACCAGTGCCGGCGAAGCTAGCAACCCAGCTGGTAAACCGAATTCTGGAGGCTCGAACAACACCGTGGAGTTCGAAAACTGCTCAGAACAGGTGGCTGTTACGACCTTCATAGAGCCTCCAGGGATGCGACAGGCCCTCTTCCCGCGCATCCTAACTTTGCCAGGATGGACTACTGGAGCTTGTAGGCTAGCTTTGTGGCATCTCTGCATGGCTTCCATGAGAAAGGAAGGACATGATTCTAAAGGCCTGTGAAAGAGTGAAGGGCCGTACTCGCCAAACAGCTCTTGGTAACACTTTTGAATGATGTTCATTCCTAAAACACCAGGTGCCTGCACAGGTGTAGTTCCGGGAAGGTCCCTCACCACCAGGACACCACAGTGAGGCATCTGCTTGCCACACAAGACAACGTCAAGCTCCAGGTAACCTATGTATGGGATGGACAAACCATTAGCGGCCGTAAGCTTCAGCCAATGGCAAGCCTTGAGTCGCTCCTCCCCGAGAGGAGCAAAATGTTTCATGAAGAAACTTTCCGTGATTGTAGTCACCATAGACCCTGTATCCACAAGGCACGGGACGGAGACTCCACTCATGCCCACCTTGATATGTGGACAGGAGGAAACTAGTTTTGGTGCGTCGTCGAAGCTATTAAAAACATGGTCTAAGCCAGTGACTGCCCCACCTGAGCCGTGGCCCTGCAACCCGGTGGGCACTAGTTTCCCGGATGACTATGTGACTGAGCGTGTCCCTGCCTCGGCAGCTGCGAACGAGGGGGTGCACGCTCCCCATCACAGTCCCAGGAGATGTGTCCAGGCTGACGGCATCGCCTACAAATGATTGGGCCAGAGCGCGGAGAGCGGGTACGCTGGTGGGGATTGTGAGATCCCTGTAAACGAGCCACGCTCTGGGTAAGATTATCAAGTTGCTCCTGTTGTCGGTGCAACATTTGCTTCAGGTCACTTACTTCAGAAGCCTGGGCAGTGTTAGTACGCTGAGACCCACCCTGAACGGCGTACTGTATACCAAAAGTGGAGGGGACAGAATTGCTGCGACCACGCACTCCCGCTGGCATCCCCTCACGCTCCCACCTTAGTGCCTCACCTCTGACATCGAGTAAAGTTGCTGTGGGTGTGTTACGAACATACTGTTTTTAACTCACGGCGGAGCGCGCAGTCTAAGACCTACTCAACGAATTGGTCGCGAAGTAATGTTTCTGCATTATTCATATTATTAGGAGCGCGCTGCTTTACCCCCTCCATTAAAGCCATAAGCGCGAGGGAATACTCGAGCAAGCTTTCACTCTCTTGCTGGCGGCGCGAGAAAAACGCCTCCTGTAGCGAAACATAGGATTCAACGCAACCATAGAGGTCCTGCAAAATTGAGATAATTTTATTTGGATCGGAGCGCTCTGCACTCGGTCGATACTTGATTTCATCCTTGGCCTCCCCTTCCAAGTGGTCATACAAGAAAAATGCCTTGTCTGCGGCAGATAAGTGCCTAGCGCGCATAGATGCCTGAGCTTCCTCTAGCCACTCACTAAAGCTAGTACCAGACCTACCTCTAAACATGGGGCATTTTCTATCCCGTGGCACGAAAATTAGACGATCCCCAATGGTGGGATTCGATGCAGGAACAGCAGTAGTGGGCGGGCTTGAGGTTGAAGCCGTCTCAGAGCCTGTAACGGGCACCGATTGTGTACGCTCACTACGTAACTGTTCATTTTCAGCCCTCAACTGAGCCAACTGCTCCCGTAACTCCTGCAAAGCTTCCTCCATAATTGAGAAAAAGGGCAAAACAAACTGCTGTAGTGTCCACTATACAAAAATGTTGATCAGGGTGTAAACACGAATGAGCTAATCTCACAGCTACAATAGCAGTAACCTACAGGTGTTGAACTCAGTAATTAAAAATATATGCAAACAATGGTTCACACAAAGAAAAATATAATCATGCAAATATACAAAAACACAGCAAAACATGCACAGAAATAATGTATAACCTCACACAGTAAACAAATGCTTAACACTAATATTCACTTTTGTTCAACCCCCAATTAACTACCATTTAAGGCAGAGTATTAGTAACATTCTAAATGCCCTGATTTAGCAAACTAAACAAAAACAAATATAAAATGAACAAACAAAAAGAAAAAAAGTTTTTGCCTTTGTCCTCTCGATCCAATCCTGCCAGCAACGCCAAGTTTGTTGCGAGCTCGGAAGCACTTAGCTAGAATCTCACTATATTTTCAATGAGAACTATACAAATAAATAATACCAGCAACGCCACCTTAGATTTTGGCCTAAGGAACCATTAAGAAGTTTATCCCCGCATACCTAGAACACAGGTTCGTTTGGATATGGAGAGAGACAGAGGCAAATCTAACAAAATATAAGTTTATTTAAATAGCTGACAAGTTTAATTGACTATTCTAATTAAAACACTCTACATTCACACACACACACACTCCCATTCATTCTCAGTCACACTGCATGCATTCCAGAACAATACAATCAACAGCCAGATAAACCAAAAAAAAGGGAAAAGAAACAATTAACTTTTAAAAAGTGTCCCAACTACAGCAGCCGTTGCGTTCAGCCACACTAGGGCCGGAATTTGGTTACCTTGTGGGTAGAGGAATAAAAAGAAGCCCTGGTTTGATTGTCCTTATTTGAGGTGCGTGGAGGATTAGAGGCGCTGGATGGGATACGCGTCCTGCAGTTCCCGCGGCCACCACAGATTTATATACTCCCACTCACAAGGTGCCTCTAGATTTAAAAGGCCAGACGATAGTGCAAAAGACCCCACTTGGAAGGGGAGGTCGGAGACAACAGGAATCCTAAAACATTATTGTGTATTAGAAACAAACTCCTATGTACGTATTGTTCAGGAGGCGCACAGAGTTAAACATACCGTTGCAGATTGAAGCGCTCCGCGCACGAGCCGCCCCAGCCCGTGACAGCTCACACTGGGACAAGCCTTTACGCACGGCAGTAACGTCCACGCCCAAGGGCCCGGTGAAGGAAAGCAGGCACAGCAGCGGTGTGCGCGCAAAGACGCCGGTATGCTACAAAACACGATTTTAGGATAATCTAACTCATATTTTAATCACTACGCAGTACTCACCAAAAGCGCATACGACGATCGCGTGGTTCAATTGCGCGGCCTCTCGCCTTGTGCAATTGAACCGTGGTAGTTTGGTAGCGAGACGCTGATCACAACACCTGCTCTGTCCCGAGACAAGTCACTAGACGTCAGAGGCGGAAGAGGTCGGGCCGAAGTAGGACGCGCCTCTATAAAGAGCCGGACCAAACTCTGATTGGCTAACCAGCGGGAGTGCGCACCACTACATAAGCAAATTCAATTTCTCCTCAGAGGCGATAAAATGGATGTAATCCTATCTGAAAAATCGCTTTCAGTCAGAATCAAGGACTACAACTCTCCTCCTCTTTCATTAAAAACAGGTGTTCCACAAGGTTCAAATTTGGGTCCATTGTTATTTCCCCTCTATATAAATGACCTTCCTTCTGTCTGTCCTAGTTGCGTCAGCATTCAAACGTATGCTGATGACACTGTTATTCATGCACATGGCAAACACCCATCACAAGTGGCTGGAAAACTCACAAAGTCTTTGGTCCATATTAAAGATTGGTTAAATCAGTCATGCTTAAAACTCAACGTTAATAAAAACAGTCTATGGTTTTTTTCCAAGTCCAATACCACAGATCAATGGTCAGATGTTTTAATTGCAGGTGAAACATTGAAAATGGTTTCAGAATACAAATATCTGGGCATCACAATAGATTCAAATCTCACATTCAAAACACAAGTGAAAAAGGTCTGTAAGCAAGTCAAATTCAATCTATCAAATGTCCGGTTCATCAGGTCACAACTATCTCTGCAAGCAGCAAAAATGTTTATGCATTCCATGGTCCTATCTCACATCACTTACTGTTTAACAACTTGGTCACAGGCAAATAAAACAACATTAAAACCAATAGAATCATTATACAAACGGACAATAAAAGCACTGGACAAAAAACCCTTACGACATCATCACTGCAATATTCTTCAAAAGCACAGGCTTTTTAACTGGGACAATCTCATTAAGTTTTCAAATCTCTGTTTAACATATGAAATAATCCACAATCCGTCATCTCCTCCACTCAGTCAGTTTGTCCACATAAGGAACACCGCTGTGTCTCAGAGAGGAACCAGAGGGGACTGCCCGGTTCCTCTGAGACGGAGCGCCTTCAGTCAGAGCCTTCTCTGTAACCGCTGCCAGAGACTGGAACTCCACCCCAGCAAACATCAGAGATATCACACCATACTCACTATTCAAATTACATCTGAAAAACTTGTTAATAACACAGCAGACATGTAACCATTAGTCCAGGCAATTTACTCATTGCGTTGTAAATATCTTTTGTATGTGAAGTTGAACTGTGTTTTTTATTTTATGATTTATGTGTGCTTGTTCTCCCTGACTGTCTGTGTTTTCTGTATTTTATTATTGTATGACTTTTATCTTTAGAGAGACCATGTACACCTGTCCAGGCCCTGCAGATGAAAAATAGCCTGCTTGGATAATTCTGGTGCATTTACAGTAATGTTTTATTAATGCACAATGTCCCTGTCAACTAAACTAATAAAATAAAAAGTATCCATAGCAACCTTGCAGATGAGATAAGATAAGAAAACTTTATTGATCCCACAATGTATGGTATTTACAAAGGGCTCTGTTGCCATGGCGACCCTTTGACATGTCATTTGGAACACTGTGATGTCATCTCCGGATTCGTTGAGATGGGAGAGAGGCCAGGCCTGGACCCAGAGCAGAGACACCCCCCCAGACACAAGAGAGGACATTTCTTCAAGCAAAGTAAGAAGACAGGAAGTTCAAGGTAACGGTAACACAGAGATCATGGTTGTTCATGAAGAGATCTCTCGCCTTCTTGAGGTTGAAAAAACCCTGGAAGAGCAGCTGAAAGTCAACGCTGAACAGAAGCAGAGACTGAATGAGCTGCAGCAGACTATCCACGAGCGAGACGCCAAAGTTAATGAGCTCGAGGAGTTCTTGGAGCAAAGAGACGCCCTCATTGAATTCGGGAAAGGTCTGCTCCAGAAAATGGACAAAGACACCAAGGATCTGGCTCGGGAGGTCCGCAACAGGGTCAATGCTTATGTGGGAGACCTCATGAAGGAAAAGATGGAACTCCAGAATAGCTGTGTCTTCTTTAAAGAAAGACCAGGCCTATCTGCGAGACCAGCTGGACCAAGCGGACGAGCAGCATCAGCAAGATCAGGATCGAAATGAGAAGCTTGAGGCTGAAGTTTCCAAAATGAAAAATCGACTGATGCGGCAGGAACTGACAGAACAGGAACTCACACAGACTGTTCTAGAGAGAAACGCCCTCCAGAGTAAAGTAAATGAACTGAAGGAGTTCTTGGAGCAAAAAGACGCCCTCATTGACTTTGGGAAGGATCTGCTCAAGAAGAAGGACAAAGACACCAACGATCTGGCTCGGGAGGTCCGCAACAGGGTCAATGCTTATGTGGGAGACCTCATGAAGGAAAATATTGAACTCCAGAATTGCAGTGTCTTCATAAAGAAAAGACCAGGCCTATCTGCGAGACCAGCTGGACCAAGCAGACGAGCAGCATCAGCAAGACCAGGATCGAAATGAGAAGCTTGAGGATGAAGTTTCCAAATTGAAAGACGAACTGAAGCGGCAGGAACTGACAGAACAGGAACTCACACAGACTGATCTAGAGAGAAACGCCCTCCAGAGGACAGTAGATGAACTGAAGGAGTTCTTGGAGCAGAGAGACGCCCTCATCGACTTTGGGAAGGATCTGCTCAAGAAGAACAAAGAGTTCAAGGATCTGGCTCGGGAGTTTCGAAACAAGGTCAATGCTTATGTGGGAGACCTCCTGGAGAATTACATCCATCTAAAGGATCACTGTGTGGACTTGGAGGATGCTGGGGTACGTCTGCAACAAAAACTGGACAAAGCAGACCAGCAACATTTAGAAGATGAAGTTAGAAATACAGAGCTGGAATCTGAACTTGCGAAGATGAAGAAGCTCCAGCAACACCAGCAGCAGAAGATCCAGGACCTAGAAAGAACAAGTCAGGATCTGGAGGAGCAGTTGGACGAGGCGGAGAGATACCATATTCAAGACGAGGTGGAAAACCTGAAGAATGTGGGTGAACTTGGAGAGACACAAAGAAAACTGAAAATGTCTGAAGCTGAGAACAAGGCCCTGAAAACAGAGATACAAAATGAGCAGGACAAGATTAAGAAGAAGACGAAGAAGAGGAGCTGGTGGAAGTGTTGGGAGTAATCACCTCCGGACACCACTGTAGTGTTTGCATCTTGACCCCGTTTAAGCTAACGGGTTGAGGTGCTACACACATACAGGGGCCGGGGGTAGAGAGGAGGGAGGTTGGGGTTTAGAATGCTAGATTAGATTGACTCAAAACATTGTCTAAGGTCAACAAACCAAAGTATGTGGAGAGAGGGGAGACGTTCTTCTTCTTTCAGGCGTGCAGGGTAAGGCCGTCTGTGCATTTACAAGAAACCTGCCCCAATGGAAGAGGAAACATCTCTGCTCTAGCCGTGATATTTTGGAATGATGATTTGGATCAATGAATGAATCAATCTAACATGTTCTAGCCACTACTTTCATCCGTCCCAGTCTTCCGCTTAATCCATTGCTTCGTGGCAATGTATAAAGCGCAGACTTCTCCCTCCACAAACTATTCAGACTCCGGATCCTCTCGACGAAGAAATACAACCCAGCAAACATCTGCATCATGAAATAAACAAAATAAATACAGCATCATAAAAATGTATCCAAGTGTTTTCATTTGATTTAAGAATCTTAAGTCTACAGCCCAAACATGGGGTAATCAAGCACTGCTAGCTTTCTTTACTTTTTTGTCTGATCTAAGCCCTGTTGTTTGTTTTTGTATTAGGATGACGTTTAGGATGTTATGGTCTGATTTGTTAGCGACATTTAAGTTTTACAAGACTTTGTTACGGTGGAATGCGGCGACAGTAGCTCAGTTAGTAGAGCATTGGCCAATGGCCCTGAAGGTCGTGGGTTTTCTCCCCCCCACAAGACCTACTCCAACTGCTACCACTCATTTTCTGCTGTTGTTGTGTCCTTGGGCAAGACACTTAACCCCCACATTAGCCGAAGTCTCCGCTGAAACACCAAGGCTGTGTCACCGTTGACGGAGCAGCCATCTTCCTGTAGACCCACCACTCGCAGAGGATCAGAGAGTCCCTCTGATTCTCTGCGAGTGGTGGGGTCTACAGGAAGATGGCTGCTCCGTGGGATGGGTGCTATGAGCATTGGGTGCAGCTCTCATTGCCACCCCCCTGACCCAGAAATGGACTAATAAAGGGGATGAAAATGAACAAATGAAATACTTTGGAACAACCACACTATTTCTATGTATGAAACACACAGTACTCCAGCTGTATTCCACTCATTTTCATATTTGTTTCTATAGTTGTGTAACACCTACGAGGGGTAATTACAGGGTAAAAATTCCTATCAATATCCTATGGACCAGAATCAATCAGCTAAGTTCGTCTACTGGAGTAAAAGTTGGATTACAGAACGTAAGACGCTAATAAAGAAGCCACAGACCAGTGAATAAGTTTAAATTGCCGGCTTATTATTGAAAAAATAGACAAAAGACAATGGACATACAATAAACATTAAATTCAAAACACTTAACCCTTTAATTAGTTAAGTTCAACCTTCTAATTAAACCTTTGCTTTGATTTAACCTTGGTTTAGTATCAGTTTTAGTATCAGGTTGCAACCTTTTATTTTTGTTTTAGTTCTCTTTCAGTAGTTCTCAGTTGAGATTTAGTTCAATTGATTGAGTTAACTCAGTTTAGTTCAAATCTAGTGAAATTCACCTTTAAGTTCACCATTCAAAGAAAAGTGGATACCATTGTAAAATGTACAACTCGGTAATAATCCTTCAAAATAAAATACAAAATATCAACTGAAGATGATTCAGCAAAAGACTGAATAAAGCTGTATACCACAGTATCAAAATAAAAATAGTGTCTTTGTTCTTCAGACTCCGATTTACTTTCTTTGAATTAACAGTTAAATGTTCTCGAGTCCACTGCCTCTTTGCAGAAGTTTGGATGAATCCTACCAGTTCAGAAGGAGTATGAGTTCAGTCCAACAGAGGGTGTTAACTCTCAGATGGATGTAGTTCAGAAGGTCCAGGGAAGGCTCGCCATCTTGTTTCAACCTCGTGCTCAGAGATGATATAAAGTTGGCTATTTCTCCAACCCACTCTGAATGGCCTACCGTAAACAACATAAAATGTGCATAAATACACATAATACATAGTCAGGTAGATCGAAAATAAAGAAAAGTCTTCTCTCTGTCTCAACTGGTGCTTGCAAAATGGCTGCTATCAGCACTATCCAGACAGTGAACTTGTGCACACTTGGGTTAGTCTTCGCTAAAATTTGGATTGTGTGCTCATATTCTACTAGAAAATAATCTTAAATAACAAATATCAGCACTTAAGCTTCACATTTCCATAAAAATATTATTACAAAACAGATTTACATTAACACAAAATACAATTCTTATTTTCACTCACCAAGTCCCGATTCTCCACAGTACAACTTGCCTCGGTCACAGGACAAGGTGAAAAACCAAAAATACTCTTCTTTAACTTTCTTTCAAACAAAAAAATATCTCTCTACGACTCAAGACTCAAATATTTCTTCACAAAAATCAGTTTTAAACACTTTTTACTCAAATATCTTTAAACTCTTATCTCTTTCTTGTCTCCTTCTCTCCTTCTGCCCGCGTCTGCTTCTGGCGAGTTCTAGAACAATCCGGTTGGCCGTTGCTAGTCACATGGGTCACACATGGGACGTGCAACTACTTGTCTTTCAAAATAAAAGTACAAAGATATTTTTTTAAACAAAACAACCATGAATTTGCATATTTTTTTAGCTTGTTGAGATACTAATGAATAGAGTAATATATTATAGACGTTTTTAATGACCATTTAACATATTGACATATTTATTGACTTTTAATCTGTTGTAGTTATTGATGTTTTATTAACATGCTTTTACTTTGACGGTCACACTATTAACCTGGGTTACACCCTCCCCTCTTAACTCTATGCAAGTCCCTTTGCATAATGCCTACTTTAAACTACTTTGACTTCGTGTAGTTCAATAGAACCTGTTACAGCTTCACTCAGGCTTTGGAAAAGGGATTGAACAATGTTTATGAGAGGGTTACCCAATTGAGGGTAGGTTAACTGTTTGGGCATCCTTCTTTCTCTGAGGGATCTTCTGATATCTTGCTCTTTGTTGGGATTGTTTGTTCCTTCAACATTGTTTACATAATTCTTTCCGTTTCTTTCATTTTCCATTGTCTCCTTTTCCTTTATTTCAACGTTTGTCTTTTCTCCATTTGTTCCTTCCTTTTCAGGTGCAGGTATATTTTCCTTTGGAGGTAGGTATTCCACTTCAGGTAAGTTTGCAAGTTCTTGTTCATTTCCTTTTTCAGATTCTTTGTCCATTTCATTTTCCTTTTCACAATCGGGTGTTTTGTCATATTCAGGTATTTTGTCACTTTCAGGTATTTCGTCACTTTCAGGTATTTCGTCACTTTCAGGTATTTTGTCATCATCGGTTTCATTGTCACTATCGGGTAAGCTTTCATTTTCAGAGTTTTCTATGTCTTTTGGAGCAGTGTCAGGGATTTCTACAGTAACTGGGAAAGACTTTTCTGAGGTTGGTTGCTCAACTGAAGGATTTTGGTAGGTTTTTGGAGGATGGACTACCCTGTACTCCTCAACTGTCCTTGAGATTTCTTTAAGAGGACCTGGAATGTAATACTGAGGGTAGATATATTCTTCCTCGAACTCACTTTCAAGCTCAGGTTCTGAATCGGTTGTTGGATGTTGGCGTGTGCTAGGCCTGCGGGGCTTTTCTTTGGCTTTCGGAGTCGTTTCAGGCAAGGTTGGCAGAAACCCGCATGGCAACAACAGGTCTCTGTGTAGAGTTCGAGTGGGACTGTTTTGGTGTTCCGGCTTAACTGTGTAAACAGGTAAGTTGTCTTTTTGGCTTACGACAACATGAACGGTGGATTCCCACTTGTCAGCTAACTTGTTTTTTCCTCGCAGCCGGACATTTTTTACAAGCACACGATCACCAACATTGAGGACTGATTCAGTAACATGTTTGTCATATCGGGCTTTATTTCTTTCTGCAACTTTGGCAGCACTTTTTGTAGCCAAATGATAACTCTCCTGCAGATGGGTTTTTAAGGCCTTTACATACTGCGAGTGGGATTGTTGCTGACGTCGATTCAAAGGGACATTGAAGGCTAGGTCAATGGGTAGTCTGGGTTGCCTGCCAAACATTAACTCATATGGCGTATAACCGGTGCTGTCATGTTTGGTGCAGTTATACGCATGCACAAGCGGTTTGACGTAGTCGTGCCAATGTCTTTTATCCTCGTCCCTGAGAGTACCAAGCATATTCAGGAGTGTCCTATTAAATCTTTCCACAGGGTTGCCTCTGGGATGATAGGGAGTTGTTCTCACTTTCTGTATCCCTGCAAGGTCGCAAAGTTCTTTGATTGTTTTCGATTCAAAGTCTGCGCCTTGATCACTATGGATCTTCTCTGGGAACCCGTAGTGGACTATAAAGTTCTCCCACAATGCTTTTGCTACCGTTCTTGCTCGTTGGTTTGGGGTAGGTATAGCAATTGCGTACTTGGTAAAGAAATCTGTCATTACCAGGACATCCTTCGTATTGCTACGATCTGGTTCAATGCTCAAAAAGTCAATACACAGTAACTCGAGGGGTCTGGTTACTTGAATATTTACAAGGGGCGCTGCCTTTTCGGGCAATGTCTTTCTGCAGACACATCTCTGACAGGTCTTTATTTTTTGTTCGACATCAAGAGCCATTTTCGGCCAGAAAAACCTGGTTCGTGCTAGGTCAAGAGTCCGGTCAACACCAAGATGACCCATATCATCGTGAAGACTTTTTAAAACCATGTGTCTGAGGCTTTCGGGGAGAACAAGCTGATATTGGGTTTCGTCACCAACTAACCTCTTCCTGTAAAGAATTCCACTCTGCAGCTCAAGTTTGTTTAGTTCACGCAGAAGGATGGAGAGTTGTGGGATTTCATTACGGACAGTTGGTGGAGTAGTTTCACCTGTTTCAAGTTGATGTATGATTTCATTGATTGCGGGGTCATTTCTTTGATTTTGTTTCAGTTCTTCTTCTGAAATGCTTTGAATGACTGGGAAACCATTACACTGATCGAAACAGTCTGGAACAGCTTGGGCGGACATCGACAAGGATGTGACAAGAGGACAGGTAAGAGACACAGGTAAGTTTTCGAAATCAAGAGACTGGAGTACAAGGTGTTTTTCACAGATGGCCCTGACAGCGTTTGGAGGTACATGAACGAAAGGATCTGCGCCAGGTAAGTGATGGTTGACAAACTGACAAATTCGTTCTTGTTCTTTCAGGGAGACAAGGTCGTTGACTGGTTCTGGATGGGGCCGACGAGACAGACCGTCTGCATCCAAGTTCTGTTTGCCTGCCCTATACTGGAGCTGGAAGTCAAAGGAGGACAGGGCTGACAGCCAGCGGTAACTTGTCGCATCTAACTTAGCGGTTGTCAAGATGTAAGTTAGAGGATTACTGTCAGTTACTACTGTGAAAGGACTGCCGACAAGTAATCACAAAACTTTTCGGTTACAGCCCACTTGAGGGCTAAAAACTCAAGTTTGTGGGCAGGATAGCGGGCCTCACTTCTCGACAGACCTCTACTTGCATACGCAATGACGCGCATCTTCCCTTCTTGCTCTTGATACAGGGCTGCCCCCAGCCCAGAGGTGCTCGCGTCCGTATGTAATACGTAAGGAAGCTTGGTGTTGGCGAACCCTAACACTGGACTGGAGGTAAGTTTACTGATTATTGTCTCGAATGCTTTCTGGCAACTTTCAGACCACCTATCACCAAAAGGGGCTTTAGGCTCAAAGTATTGGGCGTTGTCGGTCTTAGGGACATGGCTCTTTCTCAAAGGTGGGTACCCGGCAGTAAGGCTTGTCAGGGGTTTCACGATTTTAGAGAAATCTTTAACAAACCGCCTGTAATACCCGGCGAAACCTAAAAATTGGCGGAGCTCTTTCAGGTTTCTGGGACTTGGCCATGTTTTAGGGCTTCAACTTTTTCAGGGTCAGTCTCGACTCCGTTCTGAGAGACTATGTGCCCTAAGTACCTAACTGAAGTCTGAAAGAAGCAACACTTTTCAATGGACAATTTTAGACCATATTCACGGAGGCGACCAAGCACATGGAAAAGGCGTTCTTCATGTTGTTCAAGGGTTTCGGAAAAGACGATAAGGTCGTCTAAGAAAACCAAGACTTCCTTAAGATTGATGTTCCCCATGCACTTTTCCATCAACCTTTGAAAGGTGCTGGGTGCATTTGTTATGCCTTGGGGCATCCTGTTGAATTCGAAGAAACCCATAGGACATACAAAAGCGGTTTTGTGCTTGTCTTTTTCATCAACCTCTATCTGGTAGTAGCCGCTCTTAAGGTCAAGGACCGAAAACCACTTCGATCCTGCGAGGGCTGAGAATGCCTCCTCTAGGTTAGGGAGCGCATAGGCATCCTTGATCGTGTTGAGGTTTAGTTTTCGATAATCGACGCAAAGTCGAACATCACCATTTTTCTTCCTCACCACTACTATGGGTGATGAGAAGGGGCTTTCAGACTCGCGAATTATTCCTGCCTCGTTCAGTTCCTGCAAGTGTCTTCTCACTGCATCAAGATCTTGTGGCCTGATTGGACGGGGTCGATGTTTAAAGGGTGTTTCATCGCTCATCTTTATTTGATGCTTTACTTTGTCTGTACACCCAAAATCTGTGTCATGTTGTGCGAATATTTCAGGCATGGAGCAGAGTTTTTGCGTGATTCTGTCTCTCCATTCACTGGGGACAGGCGAGTCGGCAAAGTTCAGATTCAAGGGAGGATGCTCGCTGGACTTTGTTTGGATCTGGTTGGCTGACACAACTTCTTGAATTGCATGAATTTCAGCAATAATGCTTTTTGCAGGTATGACTATGTCATGTTTACTTTCGTTGCGCAGCACAACTGGAAGCTTCTGAGAAGGTTTGTCTGGAAAGGTAAGTAAACAGTTGGTGACAAGGACCCCACCTGGTAAGGAGGAAGTAGAGGGTGACGCAACTACAACCCACTTGTCTGGTGTTTTAGTGTTTACATGGACCAACCCCTCTAAGACTCGACTTTGACCAGCAGGTATGACTTCTGACTCTCTTCCCGACAATCTGACTGGACCAAGACTACTGTTTTCTTTCTGCTTCTGCCTTTGCCGTAATACACTGAGCACTACTCTGTAACCATAGGGTAGAGCTTGAGTATCAGCATTGGTTTCAGATAAACTTTCATAAAGAATGTCAAGAGTGTTGGTGCCAATCAAAAGGGATGATTGAATGTTCGAACGTGTGTCAGGGACGACTAAGACATATGTGGACACACTGATTTCAGTACCAAAACAGACTTTTGGGAAGGTAATATCGACACTGATAAAACCTGAGTAAGGAACATTTTGACCGTTTGCAGCCTCAATTTCAAGCAGTTCATTGATGGAATGGATTACAAGGTTTGAGAGATTGTTTTCGTAGAATGATTGGGACACAGTGGTCACTTGAGACCCAGTATCAAGGAGACAACTGCAGTTTTGACCATTGATTTGCACATGAGCAGTGTACTTGGCTCCGATTAAACCTTTTGGTAAGTTTGCAGTGACTGATTTGCTGTTCAAGCGCTTTGTAGAAGGCTTTTGGTTGGGACCCGTTTCGTTGGTAGCACTCATTTGTCCCGCAATGAGAGCCGGTTTCAGTTTAAAGGTAGGTTTTGTTTGTTCTGTTTGTCCCACTGTAACTGTTTTTCTTTTAACTGTGCTCTCTTTTCAGCGACCAACGACGGATTGGCTTCGTTGGGGCAGTCAGGGACCATATGTCCGTCTTCGCCGCATTGAAAACAATACCAGGGCTTTGGTCTGTTTTTTGGAACTGGGGTTGCTTTCTGTTTTTGTTCATGTGCTCCAGGTTTCATTTTCGTCTTGTTAGCAGCTTTTGGGGTTTCATTTGGTGGTTTGAGTCTGGCGAGGTGAGACTGCAACTCTGTGATTTGTGCTTTCAGCTCTTTGACCAAGTTGCTCTGGGGAACGACTGGTGGTTCAGCCTTTTTAGATTTCATATTGGAGAGCTGATTCTGAAGCTCGGTCATTTGTGTCCGCATTTGTGTTAGATCACTTTGCATTGAAGAGTCAGTGTTTGCAGCTATTGCATGTGAAGTGACTTTTGGTCTGGTTGCAGCAAAGTGTTTTTTCATCCTGCTTTCTTTTGCAGTGAGCTTATCTTCCTCTACTCTCAACTGTAAGAGTAATTCGGCGAAAGGAGGTGGGTTATCTTTTTTTCTTTCTAGTTGCAGGTCGGCTAGAAGGGCATTATCCCAACACCCGCGACAAAACTGGCGTAACAGGTGTCTGTCTGTTTCACTGGCTGAGACACCACCTCTTTTCTGAGCTTTGGCAAGAGCTGTCTGTAGTCGGTGAAGATAATGCGAGGGCTTTTCACCAGCATTTTGCAATGTGTTAAGGAACTTAGCGAAAAGCTCATCGCCGTCCTCAACCGTTCCAAAAGCGGAATTGAGCAGCTCAATGTAAGCGGAAGGCAAGGCTTTAGGGCCTAAAGGTTTGACTACATTAGCCGCAGGCGGCACAAGACTGTCCAAGATCTTACGAGACCGCTGCAAATCAGAAAGATCTGGATCCTGAAGGACAAGCTCAACACTGGTCCGCCATGTGTCAAAATCCACCTCATGACTAGGACATGGTAGTTTTCCAGAGAATTGCCTCAAGCGAAAAGAATGTAACTCTTTAGATACAGAAGCTTCACTTCGGACTATGTGCTCAACAACAACTTTTTGCACCTCTGGATGAGTTATGAAGCTTGGCGGAATGTTGGCAGCTTGAGGGTGTCTGGGTGGTTTGATTGGCTCAGTTTTATTTGTTTGTTCAGTTTCTCTTTGAGTCTCACTCGAGATTAAGGGAGCATTGTAGCTATCTGGCTCAGTTTGCTCGGTTTGGATTAGTTCAGTGTCATTTCCGTCTAAATGGTTCTGCTCAGTTGCACCTGCTATCGATTGACTGCATTTAGTAATATGTTCATGCAAGACGGCTTCAAAGGACTGGCCGGTTAATTTTGCTACTTCTTGCAGTTCAGCAAACAAACTGTTGGTGGCGCTACTGGTGACAGATTCAGTGTACGCTGTTGAAAGAGCTTTGATGTGGCAAAATGCAGTTTGACCTCGGAAAGAATGGGGCAACAAGGGTTCAAGTCCTGCGAGAGCAGCTCCACTCTCATATTCCACAATAAAATTATTGTGGTACCAAGAGTCAGGATTTTCAATTTTCAGGGTTCTCAGGATACGCCCATACTTGCACAGGAAGTCAGTCAGTTCTTCATCAAGGGTTTCATCATTAAGCTCAGTAACAATGACTGAATTTGGGATTTTCACATTTTCTTTTTTTACTATGTCCATGTCTTTGCCGGTTTTTACCTATTTTAAGGGTCTGGGTCAAAATTAAATTTTGAACACGTTAGCTAAAAATTATTTTACTCCTGGCTGGCTCGCCAATTCTGTAACACCTACGAGGGGTAATTACAGGGTAAAAATTCCTATCAATATCCTATGGACCAGAATCAATCAGCTAAGTTCGTCTACTGGAGTAAAAGTTGGATTACAGAACGTAAGACGCTAATAAAGAAGCCACAGACCAGTGAATAAGTTTAAATTGCCGGCTTATTATTGAAAAAAATAGACAAAAGACAATGGACATACAATAAACATTAAATTCAAAACACTTAACCCTTTAATTAGTTAAGTTCAACCTTCTAATTAAACCTTTGCTTTGATTTAACCTTGGTTTAGTATCAGTTTTAGTATCAGGTTGCAACCTTTTATTTTTGTTTTAGTTCTCTTTCAGTAGTTCTCAGTTGAGATTTAGTTCAATTGATTGAGTTAACTCAGTTTAGTTCAAATCTAGTGAAATTCACCTTTAAGTTCACCATTCAAAAAAGTGGATACCATTGTAAAATGTACAACTCGGTAATAATCCTTCAAAATAAAATACAAAATATCAACTGAAGATGATTCAGCAAAAGACTGAATAAAGCTGTATACCACAGTATCAAAATAAAAATAGTGTCTTTGTTCTTCAGACTCCGATTTACTTTCTTTGAATTAACAGTTAAATGTTCTCGAGTCCACTGCCTCTTTGCAGAAGTTTGGATGAATCCTACCAGTTCAGAAGGAGTATGAGTTCAGTCCAACAGAGGGTGTTAACTCTCAGATGGATGTAGTTCAGAAGGTCCAGGGAAGGCTCGCCATCTTGTTTCAACCTCGTGCTCAGAGATGATATAAAGTTGGCTATTTCTCCAACCCACTCTGAATGGCCTACCGTAAACAACATAAAATGTGCATAAATACACATAATACATAGTCAGGTAGATCGAAAATAAAGAAAAGTCTTCTCTCTGTCTCAACTGGTGCTTGCAAAATGGCTGCTATCAGCACTAGTCCAGACAGTGAACTTGTGCACACTTGGGTTAGTCTTCGCTAAAATTTGGATTGTGTGCTCATATTCTACTAGAAAATAATCTTAAATAACAAATATCAGCACTTAAGCTTCACATTTCCATAAAAATATTATTACAAAACAGATTTACATTAACACAAAATACAATTCTTATTTTCACTCACCAAGTCCCGATTCTCCACAGTACAACTTGCCTCGGTCACAGGACAAGGTGAAAAACCAAAAATACTCTTCTTTAACTTTCTTTCAAACAAAAAAATATCTCTCTACGACTCAAGACTCAAATATTTCTTCACAAAAATCAGTTTTAAACACTTTTTACTCAAATATCTTTAAACTCGTATCTCTTTCTTGTCTCCTTCTCTCCTTCTGCCCGCGTCTGCTTCTGGCGAGTTCTAGAACAATCCGGTTGGCCGTTGCTAGTCACATGGGTCACACATGGGACGTGCAACTACTTGTCTTTCAAAATAAAAGTACAAAGATATTTTTTTTAACAAAACAACCATGAATTTGCATATTTTTTTAGCTTGTTGAGATACTAATGAATAGAGTAATATATTATAGACGTTTTTAATGACCATTTAACATATTGACATATTTATTGACTTTTAATCTGTTGTAGTTATTGATGTTTTATTAACATGCTTTTACTTTGACGGTCACACTATTAACCTGGGTTACACCTGTACTTTGAAATCTTCTGGCGGGTCGGGCAGGGCAGTCCACAGGTGTAGATGGAGGAGGCCAGGTTCAGAGGTCCAGTGGCGGAGCCAGAGGGGTAGCCAGGGTGGCCACTGCCACCTCTAAAAATACCCTTGCCACCCCCAGTGCCCCCCTCGGAAGACGGCAATGTAATAATGTTAATCTTGAGAATCTTTTGCACTTTTTCCGCCAAAGACTAAAAATTCCCACGGTTTCCCCCGTCTGTGGACGCACCTTGACTCCGTGTGGAGCATGGATCTATTATATTAACTGGATAGGGTATTACTAGCTTGTAGCTGAATAACTCATGTGCTCAGGGGATTCTCGCAGTACTGCAGACTGAACCAGACTAAATTCACGTGGGCTACCCAGAAATTTTCCCCATAGAACTCAATGCATATTAAAACAGCTCAACCTCAGCTGACAGAGAACCTACAGCTTTCATAAAGATAGGATTTTGTGGGGATTTTAGTGTCCCTTGTCATCCTGAACTTTTTTTCTTCTTAAATCCTTCGGTTTTGTTTAAATCCACACTTTAGTGCCACAAACTCTGCTCCTCTGGCTCTCGCTCTAACTCCCGCTCCGATAAACTGCTCTGATTGGTCAGAGCGCGGCCGAGACCCTCTGTGCACGTGCGTGAGACCCGGTGTGAGACCCACACACGCGTGTTTGGCGCAACGCATTATGGGAGATCATCCACTGCGCAGAACCGGGAGGACCAGACGATGCCCAAATACAGGCGAGTTTCCCATAGATCTTTGCGAGTTTCAGGCAACTTCCGCTAATCTTTCAGCCCCCATGCCGTCACAAAGCGCCACTGAGCACAACCAATCATTTGAATAGGGCGCCATCTTGGATCGCCGGAGCTCGGTGTGGAGCCAGTGGTGTATGCTAATGTTTTCATGATAAAAACATGGAGGTAAGTTAGTGACGCAGAGCCAACCGTTTACATTTGACACAAAGTATAGACACACGTACTGCAGCGCATTACTTGTTCAGTTTGTAGTACATTTAGTGTGTGTGTGCGTGCCTGTGTGCGCCATCGTGTGTCTGCGTGCCTGTGCGTGCCATTGTGTGTCTGCGTGCCTGTGTGCGTGCGTGTTTATGCGTGCGGGTGTGCATGCGTGTGTCTTCTCCATTAATAATTGCCCATCGTTCCATCGCCCTCTTCCCTTTAGTGTAAACATTAAAGGAGGAGACATTGCGTCTTTTTTTGTCAAGAAAAGGCCTATAGATCAGGATGATGAAACCTGAAGGTCAGACTCGGAGGCAGTATGTTTTACGATGATGAGGAATTTGTTGTGTTGTATTAAAGTATAGCTTATACAATTCAGTTTCAGAGAATGAGAGGGAGTCGCAGACAGGTGTAGGATTGACTATTGGCAGAATTAGAGAGGCGTTTTTTCACACACAAAAAAGAAAAAAAAAGCTAAGATTATGGATGGAGTGCAGTCGCTTGACCCCAAAACATTTTTGAAAAAGAGCCCCTGTTTTCATTTGGCAGAACCTTTCAGTCAGATATAGAGGACGTTAATTAATAGTTACTTATGTAACTTAAGTTCTACGAATAGGTGCGTAGTCCCTTAGGACTTTGCTAGTGGGATATCACTCGTGACCCCCAGGTCACACGCCAGAGAGATCAAAATAATTTGCTCCAATCACCAGCCACCTTCCTCTATAAATGCCCCTGCACAAGGCCGCAGCCCCTCTTGAACTCTGCCAAGCCGGGCTGGCCTGATGGGCTCGTAGCTAAGGGACTGCGCACCTATTCGTAGAACTTAAGTTACATAAGTAACTATTAATTCTACGTCATGGTGCTACGTCCCTTAGGACTTCGCTAGTGGGACACAACGCGGAGGCCGTAGGAAAATGTACTCCCAGCAGGCCAGCAAAGGGTGATTGGAGCTCCGCCCGAGCAAGACCCTCACAACGTGAGAGGACTCAGGGCAGAAGAAACAAGCGTGTTACGGGGCCACTCCTACCAAGGATACCCCCACGTAACACAAGCCGTAGGTCATCCGTAGTCACAGGACGCCTCTCCCAAGAGCTCCTGACGTGGACTACCAGACCGACCAAACACACAAAAATGTACCGCACCTGTAGGATGCCTCTCCCAAGAGCTCCTGCACCAGGGCGGAAATAAACCGAAGGCCCCCTCAGGGGAGGGACCCAACGGTCTAACTCAGTCCGCTGCACTCAGCACGGAATGGGCCACCGACCGGTCCGACACATCCGAAAGATAAGACCGGACGAAAGAGGAGGACGACGCCCAAGAAGCCGCACGGCAGACGTCCTCGACCGACGCCCCCCTGAGAAGGGCCGTAGAGGCCGCCATCCCACGCGTGGAATGCGACCTGAAACCCACCGGGGGGGCCAGACCCTGCGATTGATACGCCCGCCGCACAGCCGTGGCGACCCAATGCGCCAGCCGCTGAGCCGACAGCGGGGCGCCCCTGTTCTTGGGGCCCAGACACACAAACAGCTGACCACCCAACCTGAATGACGACGTCATGGCCAGGTAATGCCTCAGCATTCTGACAGGACACAGAAGGTGCTGCCGCTCCTCCTCGGGGGAGGCATGCGGCGGCGGATGGAAAGCCCTAATCCTGATGACTCTCGACCTAAAGGCCGACGTGATGACCTTGGGGAGAAAAGCCGGATTGGGCCACAATTCCACCATGCCGTCGTCCTCTCCAAAGGACAGGCAAGACGCATGGACGGAGAGCGCACACAAATCGCCCGCCCTCTTAGCAGACGCCAACGCCAGCAAGAGGGCCGTCTTAAAGGCGATACACTCGGGACTCGCCTCCGCCGCCGGTTCAAAAGGCGGACCCGACAGCCCCCTAAGGACCACCCTGAGGTCCCAAATCGGAGGCGTTCTCTGGAGCGGGGGCCTCCTCCTGCGCGCCCCCCGCAGAAAACGTTTAACCAACGGGTGAGAACGGGCTGTGAACCCCCCGAATCCGTCGTGACCCGAAGTAATGGCTGCCGCGAACACCGCCAAGGTAGCGACAGCCCTCCCCTTGTCGAAGAGCTCCTGTAGGAATCCCAGGACCCCCTCCAGCGGGCAACACCTGGGATCCCAGGAACGGGAATCGCACCAGACACTGAATAGCCTCCACCTCGTGGCGTAGGCCCTCACAGTGGACGGCGCCCTCGCTCCCTGAATGGTCTCCACCACCGCAGGGGGAAGACCCAGGTCTACGAGGCTCCGCCTCTCAGCCTCCAAACCCGGAACCTGCGGCCGATTATCGGGCGTGAAAACAGGGCTCCTCCCCCCTGGACTAGAGCCCCCGGCTCGTCCGGGAGGGCCCAGGGCTCCATCACGCCATGCCCCTCAGGAAGGGGAACCACCGGGCATGCGGACTGTCCGGAGCCACCAGGATCACCGACCTCCTCTCCTGTTCGATCCTCCGCAGCAGGACCGGCAGGAGACGCACCGGTGGGAAAGCGTACAGCAGGCCGCCTGGCCAGGGGTAATGAGCCAGAGCGTCCACGCCTAAGGGCGGCTCGTCCGCGGCCCTTAAGGCGAACCAGGACGGGCACTGTGCGTTCTCTGCACTGGCGAAAAGGTCGACCACTGGACGGCCGAACCTCCGCCAGATCTCCGCAGCTACCCGCGGGGCCAGGCCCCACTCGTCCTGGAGCGGGCCCCCCCTGGACATCCTGTCGGCCCCCACGTTCCGGACCCCCGGGACGTGGCGCGCCCTGAGAGACAGGAGGTGAAGCGCCGCCCACAGCAGCGTCACTGTCGCCATGCGATGGAGAGCGGGGGACCTGGTGCCCCCCTGCCTGTTCAGATAGGAGACCACTGTGGTGTTGTCTGAGCGAACCATCACGTGTCTCCCCTGCAGCTGAGGAGCAAAGTGCAGCAGTACTCTGTGTACTGCCTCCATCTCCAGCAGGTTGATGTGACGGGTTGAGTCCGACCAGCAGCCTCCTACAGAGCTCTGGCCGAGGACCCCGCCCCATCCTTCGAGCGACGCGTCCGTGAACACCTCCACGTGAGACACGGCGCAGGCTAGAGTCACTCCGTCCCGCAATAGACCCGGAGTGAGCCAGAACCTGATGTCCGAAGCTGCCACTAGGGGAACCCAGATCAGCCTCCCCCCGTCCCGGGAGGGGTGAAGCCTGAGGCGCGAGAACCACCTCTGAAAATTTCTCATGTGGAGCAGGCCTAGCCGCACCACAGCATGAGCCGCCGCCATCATTCCCAGCAGGGACCTGAGGCGCCGAGCGGGGACTCTGGGGCCCGCCAGAACCTCCCGGGCCAGACGGGTAATATTCATCCGTCTGTCCACGGACAATGCAGCACGGAATGTCACAGAGTCTAGCTGCAGGCCGAGATAAATCATGCGTTGGGCTGGCTGCAGCTTGCTCTTCTCCCTGTTCACCACAAAGCCCAGACGCTGTATGTGGGACAGGACCCAGTGCGTGTGGCTCACGGCCACTTCTCTGGATGAGGCCAGAATTAACCAGTCGTCTATATAGGTTAATATTCTTACCCCCGCGCGTCTGAGCGGCTCCAGAGCTGCTTCCACACATTTGGAAAAAGTCCGAGGCGCGAGTGCGTACCCGAAGGGTAGACGGCAGTACTCGTAATTCCTCTCTCCCACTGCGAAGCGCAGTAACCTCCTGTGTTCTGGCACTATGGGCACGTGGAAGTACGCATCTGTCAGGTCTATGGATGTCATCCAGTCTCCCTCCCTGACACACTCGAGGAAACAGATTTCAGATCATTTGACATGTTACATACCCCCAAATGAGACTCAGACAGCGAGTACTGATGAAATGCCGGTCGGCTTTTATTGAACGAATTCTTACCGCCCCGACCTCCTCTGCCATAGGGAGGTCGGCGGTGGGTACGTTGGTCCCGCCAGCCTCCCGTGTGTCTGTCTGGACCTGGGGGCCTCGTCGCTGGGGGACGATGAGCCACGGAGCGTGGATATGGCCCGGGGCGCCTGCCGGGCGAGCGCTCCCTGCCTCTGTCTCGGCTCCGCGCTGGAGGGCGGGCCTCGCGCCTCGTTGCTAAATGCTGGGCTAGGCTAGCAGAGTCCTTAGTTGCGGTGTTCAGCCTAGTCATCAGGGTCTGCATCTCCGGACCGAAGAGCGACGTCTGGGAGATGGGTAGGTCCAGCAGCTGCCTCTTCTCCGCCTCCCTGATGTTCGCCAGCCCCAGCCAGAGGTGCCTGGCCCCGACTTGTGCTGCTGCCATGGTGCGGCCGCCATCGACAGCTAGCGCCTGGCACATGCGCAGGATCGCCGCTGAAGTGGTCCTCGCCTGAGATAAGGTGTCTCCACTGAGCGCCTGGCCAGAAGAGAGCGACCTATCCAGGGCCCCGGTGATGAAGGCCATGTTGTTCGCCACAGCGACGACCTGTGCCGCATTGGCGTAACATCTGTCGTGCATAGCCAAAGACATCCTGTCCCGCTCGGAGGGAAGGAGAGGTCTGGTGCCGGGCCACACGGATGCGGAGGGGTGCCAGGGCCACTCGAACCGAATCCTCGATGTCCGGGACCCCGCCGGTCCAGGACCAGTCCTGCACGTTGCAGTACATGCCGTACCCCAAAGCGGGCCTCTTGGCCGCTAGGGGCTTTGGCCACTCACGTGTCGCGTAATGGACGATCGGGTCCATCCGCGGGCACAACGTGGGCTGCGTCCTCCTCCTCCCTCGAGTGGTGGCGTAACCAGAGGTGAAGTCCTCCACCCTCTGGTTCGGTTGCGGTGGCAGGGGGGCATCCATGATGGCCGCCGCCGTGGAGTAGAGCCCAGGCATGTGGTCCAGCGGGAAGCGGTCCGGCTCCGGGTTGGACACCACCTCGTCCAGCGTGAGGAGAGAGCCGACCTCCGAAACCTCTCCGTCCTCGCAGTCACCCCCCACTCCGCGGGCACGAGTGGAAGGTCGAGAGGGGCCCAGTCAATCACAGACTCCTCGTCCTGAGAGGAGTCCGGACGGGGCGCTGTAGCGGCGAAGAACGCGCGCCTGCGTTCACTCTCCTCCCTGGGGAGAGCGAGACACGAGGCGCAGGTGGCGCTCAACGCCGCATGGCCCGAACCCAGGCACACGAAGCAGCTGGAGTGCTGGTCCTTGCGCTGGAGCTTGACCCGACAAGTCGAGCAACGACGACGTCCGACGCCGGATGGCGAAGGGGAACTCGGACGAGCATCAGAAGACATCTTTTTCTCTGGTAAAATTGAACGGTAGATCTCACTCGGCGCCAGAGTGAAAGAGGGGGTGCGGCCTTGTGCAGGGGCATTTATAGAGGAAGGTGGCTGGTGATTGGAGCAAATTATTTTGATCTCTCTGGCGTGTGACCTGGGGGTCACGAGTGATATCCCACTAGCGAAGTCCTAAGGGACGTAGCACCATGACGTAGAAGCATGAAGTACGTCAAACTAGGCGGCTTCTTGGGAGGAAAACATGGATTAGAGAGTCCCTATTGGACTTCCTTGTCCTTTTGGAACGTTTGGAAAGTGTTTCATGAGCTTTTGAGGCTTGCAAAGATCTTTTAAATACCTGTCAGTACTGCGTCTTGTGAAAGAAGTTTCTCTGCCCTAAATCTTATTAAAGACCATCTCAGAACGACCATGGCAGATGATTGAGTCATCTTGGTATCCTCAGTGTATCCTCAGTGTAGGGTAAAGGAGGGCTCAGGGCTGAATATGGATGAGTTTGTCAACATCTTTGCTGCTTTACACCAGAACCACAGGAATTTGCTAAATTTGTTAAAAGAAAAATGAAATGCAATGTTTGAATGATGTCATTTTGCACTTTTTTTGTTCAGACTACTGTTTAAATACACTTTTTTGCTTTGTAGTGTCCAAGTGTGCTCTCAGTTCACTTTATATAAAAAATAAACATAAGATTAAAATGTATCGTTTAGCCAGTTTTTGTGTGAAATAAAATTTCTGAATAGTATAAATGTGGACCCCTTAAAAAAAACCTTGCCACCCCCTGGCCACCCTCTGTTTAAAAGTCTGGCTCCGCCATTGCAGAGGTCCCGTCGTCGCACCATGAAACAGACGGGTGTATAGCAATGAACAATCTACAGTCAAAATCCTAATAATGCAAAACAGATAAAGTAGGAAGGAGGAGAGGATTGTGCTCTTACCATACTTCTCCAGCAAACTGACTCCCTATGCAGCTTGACTGACTGTCTTATGGTGCGTTCAGACCGGATCATACGTTGCGTCGGCTTTCAATGCAAAGTCAATGATGCGCGTTCGAGCGTCAAAACGCATGAACGCCTGGGAATGTACGCACGGACCACGCTGGGAAGTCGAAGAAGAGGAACGCAGGAGATGGATTTTGCTCAACTTTTCCTCGGGACGTTCGTGCAGCAACCAATCAGAGAGCCGCAAAGTGGTCACAGGGACATTAGCGGACTGAGCGAGCAGACTGAACATACTGTAAACAGCCAAAAACTACTGTTATATAAAGTCTGTGGCAGGTCTCTGAACACAGACACGCTGCAAAGCTGCATTATTGGAGAAGATCTGTACACAAGAAGCCGCTAGCTAAACTCTGTTAGCATCAGAGCCCGCCGGCTACTTCCGGCGCACGCCAAGACCTGTGGTCTGCGTCTGAAAACTAGAGAACGTGCGTTTCAGCGTTGCCAGTCTGAAAGCACCATAAGGAGTTTAGCCTTCCCTAAGTCTTCCCTCCTTACCATATGCTAAACTGAGGAGGACTGTTTTAGCCTAGCCTAGAACTTAAGGTTGAAGATGCAGCGGACCGGGTCCCATACACGCAGACTCCAAGACCAGACAAAGACATGACCGGACAAACAACCGAACCAAATCCTAAAGAGCTGGAAGCTCTTCAAAGGGTTTAGGGCACACTGCCTGCAGGGGGCGCTACAGTTGTCCAACCTAAAGGTGACAAAAGCGTGAATTCGTTTTTTCGTCACTTAAAGGATATCCCTGATTTTAGCGATGTTCCGCAAGTGGAAATATGCCGTTTTAGTTGCTTGGTTTATGAAAGCCTTGAAGGAGAGTTTTTTGTCGAAACAGACAAATAAATCTAACACTGGCGTAAGATTTTCAGTTGAAAAATGGCATCTAGATATTAAATTGTGAGTACTTAAAGAAGCTATACCTGATAAAAATACTTATTACTACATACAAGTTGTATTATAATCCGTAATTTAATTGAAAACTTGAGGTCATTGATTCAGCTGTGTAAGAATACAAGCCGTGAAAAGTGCTGAGTAGAGTCTTAGCGGGACGCTCGTTCTCCTCGACTCACAGAACGAGCAGCGAACAGCCTGCGTCCTCTAGCCCCTACAGCGCTGCTAATCACTAGGGCTTCAACTTCAAAATTCGAATATAATTCTAAAATAAAAATATATATAGATTTGAACAAATATTAGACAGCCCTTAGAATTCGCGGTGCTGAGAGGACTTGGCGGCAGTCGAAGGCGGAGACCTCGGCGACCCAGTCCGCACACACAACATCTGGCTCTTGGGACGTGGAACGTCACCTCACTGGGGGGGAAGGAGCCCGAGCTCATGGGGGAGGTTGAGCGATACCGACTAGAGATAGTCGGCCTCACCTCCACACACAGCTTGGGCTCTGGAACCCAACTCCTTGAGAGGGGTTGGACGCTCCACTTTTCTGGAGTTTCCCGCGGGGAGAGGCGGCGAGCTGGGGTGGCCATTCTCATTGCCCCCCATCTCAGCCGCCATGTGTTGGAGTTCTCCCCGGTGAATGAGAGGGTCGCGTCCCTCCGCCTCCGGGTGGGGGACAAGTCTCTCATTGTTGTGACGGCCTACGGGCCTAACAGCAGTGCAGAGTACCCAGCCTTCTTGGAGTCCTTGGGAGGGGTACTGGACGGTGCACCGCCCGGGGACTCCGTTATTCTCCTGGGGGACTTCAACGCCCATGTGGGAGTCGCCAGTGACACTTGGAGAGGGGTGATCGGAAAGAACGGCCCCCCTGATCTGAACCCGAGCGGTGTTCAGTTGTTGGACTTCTGTGCCAGTCACAGTTTGTCCATCACGAACACCATGTTCGAACACAAGGGTGTCCACCAGTGCACGTGGCACCAGGACACCCTAGGCCGGAGGTCGATGATCGACTTTGTTGTCGTATCATCTGACCTTCGACCGCGTGTCTCGGACACTCGGGTAAAGAGAGGGGCGGAGCTGTCAACCGATCATCACCTGGTTGTGAGTTGGATCCGCTGGCAGGGGAAGAAGCCGGTCAGACCTGGCAGACCCAAGCGTATAGTGAGGGTCTGCTGGGAACGTCTCGCTGAGCCCCCTGTAAGACGGACTTTCAACTCGCACCTCCGGGAGAGTTTCTCCCAGGTCCCGGCGGAGGAGGGGGACATGGAGTCCGAGTGGACCATGTTCTCTGCCTCAATCGCCGATGCGGCGGCTCGTAGCTGTGGTCGCAAGGTCTCTGGTGCTGGTCCCGGCGGCAACCCCCGAACCCGGTGGTGGACACCGGCAGTAAGGGATGCTGTCAGGCTGAAGAAGGAGTCCTATCGAGCCATGATGGTTCGGGGGACTCTTGAGGCAGCTGTCCAGTACCGGCAGGCCAAGCGTGCCGCGGCCCGGGCTGTTGCAGAGGCAAAAACCCGGGACTGGGAGGAGTTCGGAGAGTCCATGGAGCATGACTATCGGTCGGCCTTGAAGAGATTCTGGCAAACCATCCGGCGCCTCAGGAGGGGGAAGCAGTTCTTTGCCAACACCATGTACGGTGCGGGTGGAGAGCTGCTGACCTCGACTGGGGATATTGTCGGGCGGTGGAAGGAATACTTTGAGGTTCTCCTCAATCCCCCCGTCACGTCCTCTGTTACAGAGGCAGAGGCTGAGGATGTTGGGGCGGATACATCCATTTCCCTGGCTGAGGTCACCAAGGTGGTTGGTAGCCTCCATGGTGGCAAGGCTCCGGGTGTGGATGAGATCCGCCCTGATTATCTAAAGTCTCTGGATGTTGTAGGACTGTCTTGGCTGACACGTCTCTGCAGCATCGCGTGGCGATCGGGGGCAGTGCCAATGGAGTGGCAGACCGGGGTGGTGGTCCCTCTCTACAAGAAGGGGGACCGGAGGGTGTGTTCCAATTATCGTGGGATCACACTCCTCAGCCTCCCCGGTAAGGTCTACTCCAGGCTACTGGAGAGGAGGTTACGGCCGATGGTCGAATCTCGGATCCAGGAGGAGCAGTGTGGTTTTCGTCCCGGTCACGGAACACTGGACCAGCTCTA